ATTTTTTTTTTTTTTTTTTTTTTTTTTTTTGAGAATAATTTAATTTATTTGGTTCATTTTTTAAAATTAGACATTTATTGTATGTACAAGAAAATGTTAAAAAAATACACATTAATAAAAAAGTTTATGAATTTACTATATTATTTTATTTTATTTTTTTATATAAAAAAAAAAAAAATAATATCAAATATTAATTTTTGCAATATATTTAATAACAATGTTATTTTTAATATTAGACAAATTTTTTTAAGAAAATTTAAAATAAAAATAAATTTCTTTTTTTTTTTTTCTTCAAAAAAAGAAAAATAGACAATTGTTATATTTAAAAAGTAAAATTTAATGTAAATATTTTTTACAAGGATTCATAATATATATACATATATATATATATAATATATTCCATTACTAAAGTAATTAAAATAACATATTAAATATAATTCGTATCTTTCACTATTACAATAAAAAAAATATATTTAACAAATTTAATTTTCTATTTATTTTTTTTTTTTTTTAAATGTGTACTTATTAAATAATTCCTGTATTTATGAATTTTATCTTTCTGGAAATATAAAAAAAATTAGAAAAAAATTCAGTAAAAAAAAAAAATATAGAAATGTTTATATATTACAAATCTATGAATAGTAAGAAAAAAAAAGAATATATATAATAATATAAAAAGCATATTCATATAAAAAAAAGAAATATACATAAAATAATATTGAAAAGAACAAACTTATGAATGCTAAAAAAAAAAATTAAAATATTTATTTATGTAAAAAAAACATAAAAAAAAAAAAAAAATGAGTAAAATTATAAATCAGATATTTGATGATTACAATAAGTCTAGAATACAATTCACTCAAAGCATCTCTGATCAATGCTTAAAATCTCATAATATTGAAATGTTAATAAATACAGATATAATTATTTTACTTCGTCCATTTATACTAGATAAAGTCCCTATTGTTCAACAAAATGCTACTTTTATTCTAGCCAAATTAGCTAATTATTCTGAAGAAATAGCTTTAACAATTTTGCAAAATGATATTTTGCCACACTTAATTTATTGTTTAAAACATGAAAATAAAAATTATAGAAAAAATTGTGCTTATACTTTAAAGTGTTTAGCTAAGCATAATTCAAAACTAGCCAACATGGTTGCTGACGAAAATTGTATTGATTATTTGATGGATAATTTGGATGAATATGATTTGAAATTAAAAGAGTCTTGTATTAATGCATTGTGTGCTATTGTAAAAAATGATTTATGTTTATCTAATAATGTAGTTAATAAAGGAATAATTCCTTTGTTAATTTTATGTTTGCAAGAAAAAGATAATAATTTAATAAAAAGCTGTATAAATTTATTATCTGAATTAAGCAAGCAGTCAAATGAAATAGCTAAAAGTGTAGTTGACAATAATGCTTTACCTAATTTAATAAAATTTTTAGACAGTAATGATATTCATATAAAAAGATACACTTGTAATTGCTTATCACATATAGCAAAACACAAAGAAGAGTTAACGGAATTAATGATAGAAAATGATATATTTCCTAGAGTTCTTTATTTATTAAAAGATAATGATGATATTGTTAAGAAAAATTGTGCTAATTCTTTAAAAGAAATGAGTAAACATAATGAAGATATATGTAAAATTATTGTACGTGCAGGAGCATTACCATTTTTATCTGAATATATAGAAGAATCTAAAGATAACATAAAATTACCTGCTATATTGTGTCTTGGTTTTATATCTTCTTTTTCTGAGTCATTAAGTTTAAATATTATTTTATCCAATGTAATTCCTATTTTAAAAAAATGTTTAATTGAAGAAAGTGAAGATTATATAAAATGTGCGTGTGTGTGGACATTAGGAAATATTGGGAAACATTCACCTGAACATGCAAAAAAAATATGCGACGAAAATATATTAATTATTTTTGTTAACTTATACAATTCTAATGACTCTTCTGATGATTTAAAAAAAAAAGTTACAATTTCATTAAAAAGTATTACACAAAAAGTAACTAATTTAGAAGCTTTAGAACCTGTTTTTATTAAATCACCTATTAAATTAGCTAAATATTCTATTCTTCAATTTGCTAAAATATTGCCTAACAATCATTCATACAAAAAATCATTTATTAAATCTGGATGTTTACAACGTTTACAAGTAAAATAAAAAAAAAAAAAAAAAAAAAAAAAAAAAATAATAAATAAAGAAAAATGAAATAAAAAGTTAACGTGATAACATAGTTTAAGGAGATATAAAAAAATAATTTAAAATAGTAGTGTACTTCAATAAATAGGTGTAATATGACCTTTATGCATAATAAAACAAAAAAAAAATAATAGCATTATCATTTGAATTTACTAATACTTTCAATTAAGTTAAATTTTAAAAAATAAATAAATATTATAAAAAGGAATAAAATTTTAATTTTTTTGGGATTTTTACTGTTATGATTTTTTTATAACATCCTTAAAACATAAATATTTGTATTTTAAATAAATATTTATTTTTAAATTAGGAAATAAAAAGTTCAGAAGAAGGAAAAAAATTTGAAATGGAAATCAATAGTATAAATAAATCCTTCCCGGAAGATATAATAAATTATTATACACCTGGATATTCTGAAACTTTAATTAAAAAAATTGATGAAGTTGACAAAATGTAACTTCAGTGAAAACATTTTCAAATTATTCTTAATATATGCCTACGTGTAAATAAATATTTTAAAAACATTAATAAAAATAAGAAAATTAAAATTTTTTTTTTATTTCTGAATTTCAAAAATCATCTCAAATTTTTTTTTAAGTTATAATTTTTTATTATTTTTTTTTTAGCCTCTATTTTTTAACATTCTATTTTAAATAAAGATTATTTAAATATATTTAAAAAAAAAAAAAAAAAAAAAAAAATGAATACATAAAATGTTTTATTTTTCATTTTTCAATAAGATTATTAATATTTTAAAAAAATACAAAATTTTTATTTTCATTCTATAAACTAATAAATACTAATGTCAAAATTAACTAAAAGATATTGCATAATAAAATGATTAATGTAAGACTCCTTTTGAAATAAAATAATTTCACTTCAGTAAATTAAAAGAATAACCATCACTATATTTAATGAAATATTTATTAAAAAGAAAAAACATAAAGTTGGTATCCTGTAATAACTTTTATAAATCATGTTACTTTTATTGTTCTATTGAAAAAAAAGCAGCTAATATTTTTGAGAATAAAAAATTAATAACAAAAAATTACTTGATTCAACATGAAAATGATATCATAAGTATTTTACAACATTCATTAAGAACAAAAAATGAAATATCATCCCAAGATATAGTTTTATTACTCAAATCATGTAGTAAAAATAGATATGTAAATTATAAAACTGCGAATTTAATAATTAGGTATATCAAGTATAACATTGAAAATTTTTCAATAATTAAACTATGCATATGCTTAAATTATATGGTGAATTTAAATATAAAAAATGATGAGAGTTTTAATTATTTAGTAACTAATTCTTTAATAAAAAAGTTGAAAAATGATGAAAATTTAGATTTGTATGGTATATGTATGATAACTAAATTTTTAATTAATGAAAAAATAAAAAATGAGGAGTTACTATATTTTTTGTTAAACTTAACGAACGATAACCTAGATAAAAATTGCAATCATTATGACATATATAATTTGATAATTTCATTTTTAAATATTCAATATCTTATTTTAAATAAGAATGATAATATATGTAGTAAAGATAAAGAGATAAGCAAAATTCGTTTTAATAATAACATTGCATATACAGAATTTTTTTTTAAAGATGTAAATGATGATGCAGTTAATAATAGTAATTTGAAAAGTATTAATAATGATTATTCTAAAAACAATTATAAAAATAATTATAGAAATATAGTTAAATTAAATGAAGAAGTTATTTATAAACTATTATTTCACTATATAAAGTTAGAAAATATAAAAAATGAGGAGATTATTTTAATTGTGAATAATTTAACTAATATAAAAAAATGTTACTTTTTTTATGATATGAATTTAAATAAAAATGATAGAATTTTATTATATGAAACATATTTAAACAAATTAAATTATAAAGAAAATTATGGAGGACAAGCACTAGCTCTTTTGTTATTTAATTTACAAAAAATTCTTAAGTTTAATGAAATATCAGAAAGCATATTTTACAATATTTTAGAAAATATTAACAACTCTATTAGATATGTTTCATTATGTACCAAAGAAGCTACACAGAGGGAATTAGAAAAACATAAAGAAAACTTAAATGAAAAAGAAAAGGATAATTTTTTGAAACAAAGTGAAAATAAGAAAAGGATAAAAAATACAGAAATAAATGAAGTAAAAAATAATCATAGAGAAAATGACGTAGAATATTCTAAAAAGATAAATATTAATTTCACAAATAAAATAAGAATGAATTTTAGTATTCAAGAAATTGGTATGGTATTTCAATTTTATGATTTTTTGTTAAATTATGAAAAAAAAAATAAAATGAAAAATGTTGAACAAGATTTTAAAAGTAAAACTAATCAAGAAGATATTTTAAATAAAAAAAATAATTCGAGTGATTTTAAATTTGTAAATAAGTCAAAAATGTTACAGAACAATTACAAATCAATGGAAGTATTTGTTGAAAGGGTTTCAAATAAAAATTATTATGATATTTTTGAGACATATATAAATATCTTAAAGAAAAGTTTATTTTTTTATTCTTTAAATAATAGAAAAGAGAAAATGAATGTACTAGATTTTTGTACGGTATTCAAAGGATTTTCTAAAATATATAAAAATAGTCACTTAGATAAACATATACTCTCATTTTTTCTGAATTTCATAATTTTAAATCAAAACAAGATAAAAATAAATGAATTAAAAATTATATTTAAACTAATTTTTGAAAAAAAAAATGAAGATTTTATGGAAATAATTTATAATACAAACAATTTTTTTAATTGTCTACAAAATATATTAATTAAAAATTTGTTGAATGAAGAAAGAACAAAAAAGGAAAATATATCATCCTTTATTATGTGTTTTTATTATTTATCCTTTTTAAACTTTAATAGTAATACATATTTAATACTAAATCAATTCATTTTAAAGAATATAAGAAATAGTATTGTAATTTCTCTTATCCCATATATTCTTATAAGCAAGTTTAACTATTATAAATTAAGAAAAAAGTTATATAAGGAAAATATGAAAATAGAACTAACGAAAAATTATAAAGACATTAAACTTAAATGTATTTTAAACGATATACAAAGAAAACAAAATATAATTAATACTGAAAATATCCATAAAGTAATGCATAATGATAATGAAAAAAACATAGAGAACAATGAAAGAGAAGACAATAAGAAAGAGATTTCACTAGAATTTAAGGATAATTTAGACGATATTAATAGAATACCCATTTTCTTTAAAATAATTAACAAGAATTTTAATCTATATAAAACATATTATGTGTTGAATTGTATATACATGCTTATAAAATTTTTAAAAGAGAAAAATACATTTCTTCATTTTTCAAATTGTAATTTTCCCGATTTATTTGAAAAATTACAAAGTAAATTAAGTAACCAAAATTTGATTTGTGAAAATTATGACTATTTTATCAATTATACTAAATATAATTATTGTTTATCTTTTTTTAATTATTATATAAACTTAAATAATTTATTAGGGAAAATACAATTCAAAAATAATTTTCCTTATAATTTTTATACACCATTTAATACATACATGTGGACTCATTTTTTAATGAATTATGAGAATCAATTAGTGAATAACGGTTTTCATTTGAGTAAAAATTCATACAAATGCATGGATAATAATCCATTTAAAACAATAATGAATGAAAAAATGATAGTTTTTCATAATTTTATGAAATATATAAGGTGTTACAACTTTTTAAATATATATGATATAATAAATATGATAAAAACATTAAAATTTTTTTCTTCTAAACTAAGTTATAGTAACTTTACAATATTCTATAATTTCTTAATATTTTTGAAATCTTATAAGTACATAAAAATAAGTACTATTTTTGAATTATTAATTGAATATATTAAATTTTTGTATTACTTGGAGTTAGAAAATCAAAAATTATTTGAAAAATGCAATTATATAATAGTGGATATTTTTATATTTCTATTCAGAATGATTTTAAAAAATATATTAGGAAATTTAGAAAATAATTATATTGGTATGTTATATTTATCTTTTCTATATTTATATTATTTTATTCAAAAATCAAATTATGTTTTTCATTCCTTATCATTAAATAACTTGAATAAAATAAATTATTACATGAACTTAACATTTATGAGCTTAGATAAGTACGAGCAAACGTATTCTTTTCAAGTATAACAAAAAAAAAAAAAAACATATATATTGTAAAAAACATAAATGAAAAATAGTATATATAAACATAGTTAAGAATGATAATACATTCATAAGTAAATGAATAAAAAGTGCTTTTTTAAGAATGTAAAAAAAAAATGTTATGTTTATATAATTACAAAAAAATGTTGTGTTATTTATATGTCATATTTATTATTTTAAATTAATTAAAATAATTAACTTATAAATATTTCATATTATTTTTTATCTTTTATAGTTACACATTTTGGCAGTTCTCAAGGGAATTATAAAAAATAAAAGGAGGATAATTAATGAATACAACATTTATGATACACCTTATACCATTGATATACTAATTAAATAATATATAAAATTATATGAATAAAAAAATATGATTTGAGTAGATAAAAAAAAAGGAGTAAAATAATAAAATTAAACAGTCATAATTTTACTTTTTATAATTTTTTATTATACAATAAAAAAAAAAATAAACAATTTTTTCATATTTACAAAACTTGTTGCTTTTATTTTTAATAATAGAATATTCATTGTGAAATATGGTTATATAATGGTTAAAGCTCTTTTCCTTCTTAATAATTAGTTATTCTTAGTGCACTTTTTTATTCTATTTAAAAAAAAAAAAAAAAAAATTATTTTTCCTTTAAAATTTCGACATTCTTACAAACTTTATAAAGACGTATTAAATATTTATATTCATATAAATATTATATAACTTATTGTTTTTATTGTTTTATTTTCCTTTTCATCTTGTTTCTCTTTATTTTCTTTTTCTATATATCATTATTATTATTATTATACTTTTCATTATTTTATTATTTCATCTTTTGTATGTTTATTATTGTATTTGTAATTTATTTTACTTTTTCATTTCCCTAATATCCGTCATTTTTTTTATTACATTCTCTTTATAATAATCAAAATCATTTTAATTCTTTATTTCTTTTTTTTTTTTTTTTTTTTGTATGCTTAAGCAAGCCTGTATTTAAAAAGAATTAGCCACTGTAAAAATAATTTATAATAAAACATATTACAAATTTTTATATTATATATTATCCACTCATTGAATAATTAGATACCACCTAAGGAGTTTACTTTTTTTTATTTTTTTTTCTTCTTTTGATAGACAAACTTTTTGATTTATTATTAGAAATATTAGATTTTCGAGAAAGTGAATAAGAAGATGTACAATCTTTCATATAGCTTTTTTTCTCATTTCTTTGTTTAGTTTTACTTTTTTCTTTTTCCTTGTCATTTATTCCGTGTTCATATTTTATTGATACAATTTTACCATCAATTTGACCTCCATTCATAAATTCTTTTGCAATTTTTGCATCAACTCCATTTTCGAATTTAATTTTTGCACACATAAAATTATTATTATTTACATTTTCATTATCTAGTATAAAATTTATATCTCTTAAATTTCCAAAATGCATAAAAATTTCTTTCAAATGGTCTACACTTACGTTTTTTGTTAAATTATATATATAAATACAATTGTTGTTCATATTCTTTTTTAGGCTTTAAAAAAAAAAAAAAAAAAAAAAAAAAACTAAAAGAATTAAGATTATTAGATCTTTTTACAAATTTTTTTTTTTTTTTTCAGTAATTATATATATATTATTATTTATTAAATATACTTTCAATGAATTTCATTAATTCTTATAAGCAAATATAAAATTATACTTGAAGATATTTCATTATTGTATTTATATACTTAAAAAAAAAGAAAAAAATTTTAACAAAAATATATATATACAATTTATAATTTCATTTTTAAGATAATAATATTTATATGTAATATTATATATTTTTGTCAAATATTTATTATTTTTTTTTTTTTTTTTTTTTTTTTTTTTGTAATTATTTATTATAGGTCCAGCTAATAAACAAAGAATTTAATTGTGAAATATATTAAAACTTATCTTTTTTTTATATGCTTATCAAAATATAAAGATTTATATATTTAAAATAAATATTATTGTATATTTTTTATAAATGTCTAATATATTTTTTTATTTCAACAAATTATTTATGAAATTTGCTACTTTCAATATCTATAAAAATTATCTTTAAAAGTTTTATATATTGACAAAGTTACATTTATTTAAACAAAATAATCAAAATAAAATTTTTTCTTAAAATGACATAACTTTATTTTAATTTTTAAAGTTTTTTAAAAAAATTCCATTTAAAAAAAAGTAAAAATAAAGAAAAATTTTCAAAAAATAGTATTATTTCATAATATAATTTATTTTATAAAATTCATAAACTAGTACACATCAAATTAAGAAAAATATACTTCACAAAACATATTTTATTAATAATTCTATTTTTAAAATTTTTTGATTAATTATTAAATGAACTAAAAAAAAGAATATATACCTACTTATAAAATTAAAAAAATAAAAAGGAAAAGATATATATATATATATATATATATATATATATTAATGCCTTTATATAGTTATATTTTAATAACTTAATAATTGATGTATTTACTATCTTTTTTACTAACAGGAATAATATATAAAATTCTTCTTATAAAAAAAAAAAAAAGAATTTTTTTTTTCATTTTTTTCATCTTCGTTTTTTAGATTCTTCTAATTTATATTTTTGAGTAAATTTTGTTTTTCTTTCCTTTTTATACAAAATATATTGTAATAAAAATATAGTGAAAATTACATCATCTCCAAAAACACTAAATTTATGAATTGTTGGTACCCTTAAGAATATTGCAAGTAAGTCATCCATTATAGCATTTAAAAAAAGTAAAACAAAAGAAGGTAACGGTATATATTGGATTGTTTTTGTGTAATAATTTTTTACAACTTGTGGAAACATAAAAATAAAATTAAAAATATATGAATACACACCTGATGTTGTGATTATTAATGAATAAAAAGAATCATACTTATTAAAAACCAAATTATATATAAAAATAATTATTATTGAAAAAATCATAATAAAATGAAGTTTTTTTTTCATATTATTTTCAAATTCAACAATATTAGAATTATCTTTATTTAAAATAGATCTCTTATTTATACATATAAATGGGTAAAAAGTAAATATAATTATATCACATGTATCTAGTAGCTTCCATATACATACAAGAATTTTTAATAACAAAAATAACATTATAATTTTACCTTCATTTTTATGTTTTAAATACATGAAAATAAAAAATGTAAATATCAGCTTTAAATGAATATTATTTGAAGAAATGAAATATAAATTATTCAAATTTTCCCATATTTTTTTATCAAAATATATTGCAATTATGTCTAAAATCAAATGAATGAAACAAATTATATATATAAATATAGATAAATGTATATTTTTACATATTGATGCAGTTAAACTATCTAAGTCATAAGAGCAAAAACTATATTTCTGCTTGATATAATTTATGTTAAACATCATTATATTAATTAAACTGAAATATGTGTAACTTATAGGAACATATTCTATTTCAATTTTATTTGTGTATTTTATATTACTATCATTGTTTAGTATATCTCTTTCTGTTTTATTTAAAAGTAATGTATATTCATCTTCAGGTGTTAAATTGTTATTTATATAAATTGGTAAAAAGTAAGTATTAGTAGACTTACTTATAAAAATATTTGAAAAAAAACCAAGTTTATTAATATTAAAGTCGTTATATTCTATTACTGGTCCGAATTGAATACGCTTAGGAATGTATAACGAATTTTCTCTTTTTTTTATATTTTTATTTAAATCCTTTTTTTCTTCTTTAAAGGCCCATTCCCATAAATATGTTTTTTCTTTTTTTTTTTCATTAAACTTTTTACTTTTTGTTAATACAGTTGTAATCGTACCATACCTATATATTTCATTATTAACATATGTAATAATATGCAAATATATATTTTTTTTATTTTTACATAAATAGTCTGGAATAATTAAATCAAAAGAAGGGTAAATATTTTCTGTGAAAAATACCCATTTTTTTTTTTTTTTTATTTTATTTTCATGCCAATTATAAACGGTATTTGTAAAATTATAAACGTTAATAAAATTTTTATCAGAATCAATATATTTTTCATTTATATATTTATTCAAGTCTATGTGTTTTACACATGATATGTATAAATGGTAATCTATTATATCATTTTTTTTTAATATATTTTTATATGGTTTATATGTATATTTGGATTCTGTATTTTCATTTATCTCTTTATTCTTATAATACTTCAATTCTTCCGAACGATCATAAATTGGTGTTTTTATATTTTTATAGATATGATAAGAACTAAACAAAACATAAAAACATATTATTCCAATTATTAATTTAATCATTTTTTAACACATTTTTGTTTTATCACATAATATGGAAAAATGAAAAAAAAAAACATAAATTTATATTGATATAAAATTATATAAAATGTTAATTTAAAAGTATTATGTTAAAAGAAAAGCAAAAAAAGTTACATTTTTAAATGAGATATTATAAGCATATTCATAAATATTTATACAAAATTAAAAATAGTAACTAAAAAAACGAAGAATATATAACTCCATGAAAACAATAATATTAACAAATAAATATTTTTAAGAATATTTACAAGTTAAAGTTTTTTATAAAATAAAAAATTACATATATATATATATTTATATATGCACAAAAATTTGAATATACAATATATCTTCACTTTATTATATATTTTTTAAGACACTATTTTCTTGATATAATTTTATTTAGCTTATTGATTAAAATTTTTTAATAAAATAGAAAACTTTTAATAATAATTGAAAATATTCTTTAAAAAAGAATAACTAAAAACTATTTTTAATTTTTTAAATTTTCATTTTTTTATTACATTATATTTTTAACTTTTTAATTTTTTTTTCTTTTTTTTAATTTCTTTTTTTTTTTTTTTTTTTTTTTTTTTAATTCTTTAAATAATTAATAACTATTATTATTATTATTCCTTTTTATCCTAGTTTTTTTTTATTTTTTTTTAGTTGTAAATATTAAATTATTAGTCTTTTTTATTTTTATATGTGTAAGTTAAAATGAATTTAGACATAAACTTTAAAAAAAAAAATGATTTAGGAGAGAAAAAAGTTATTGAAATTAATAATATAAATAGAATTATTTTAGATATATTATGCACAGAAGCTATAAGGAAAATTAAATTTATTTTGCATATATTAAAAGAATTATTAAAAAAAAAAACGAACATTTTACATGTATATATAAGTAATAACATTGATCATTTGTCAACCGAAAACAAAAGAAAGCAAATGTAAAATAATATAGTTTTACAATCTCTAGAATAAATTTTGAAATTATAATTATTATTATTAACTTTAATAAAAAAAAAAAAAAATTTTATTTTTAGATTTAATTCATTACAAGATCAAATTGAATTATGTGAAAATGAAACTCATTATAATCTAATAAAAAAAAAAATTGAAAAATATATTGATTCCTTAAGTGAAACAAATGAAATATTATGTCAAAACTCACCTACTGATAGAAATATAAAAGTGAAAATGAAGACAATTAATAATTAAATTTTGTTATTATTAAGAAAAAGTATAATGTTTAAATTTTTTATTTTTTTTTTTTAAAAAAACAGGAAAATAGAAATAAAGTAATTGAAGATGGTACCCTCCTTCTAAATATATTTAGAAAAATAAAAAAATTAGATTTCTCATCCGTTTCAGATGAATTGAATATGTTTAAAGATGAGCAGAATTTACTTCTTAATGTAAAAAATACATAGAATTTTTTATTTTTTTTTTAAATTGAATATTCTTGTGTTTATTTACTTTTTTTTTTTTTTTTTTTTTATAATTTTAGTTAAAACAAAGTGTCTATCATAAAAAACAGATAATCAATATTTTAAACGAACAAATAAAAGAACAAATAGAAAATACCAAAAAAAAAAAGGAAAAAATTGAAGAAAAAATTGAGCAAATAGAGAAAAGAAAAAAAATTTTTTTTGTAAAATCTATGCTTTATTATATTTATAAAGAGGAATATGTTAATGCAAAAGTGTCAAATTATAATATGAATATAAATCTGAAGTATGATTCAACTAAAAAATCAAAGGAAACAATGGAAGAAGATTTAAAATCTTATGAGAGTATTAATGATTATATTAAGATGTTTTTAAATAAAAGAAATGATCATGTTAGTATTTTATTTTTTTTTTTTTTTTGAATTATAATGTATAATAATATTTTATATATATATTATTTCCTTATTGTAATTATGCATATTATAGATAACAATGTATTTTTATTACCCCTTTTTTTTACATCGAATAACTATATATAAAAACACTAGAATAATAATGCCATTTATGTATTTTTAGATACTAGAAATATTAAATATATTCTCCTATGAAAATTAAATCATATTTATTCTATTTTTAATTTTTTTTTTTTTTTTTTACAAGCTACAAAATATCCATGATGAATTAGTTGATTATTACGAAAAAGAAAAAATTAAAAAGAATAAAGAATTAGAAGAAATAAATAATGAAATTTATAATACTATTAAAAGCATAGAATCAAAAAAGAATAAAATAGTAATTCCAAGAATAAAAAATAAAAATTAGACAATTCATTTTTTTATAATTGTATATTTTAAAATATATAACAATTTCATTATTTTTCTATAAAATAGTTTGTTATAAGAATATAAAAATTCTAAAATCATTTTATTATCATTTTAGATTCAATATGAAGAAGTAAACAAATTACATGAAACAGAGGAAAAAACAAAAATGAAAAAAGAAATTGAAAAAAAAGAATTTTTAAAACAATATAATGAATCAATATTATTTCTACAACATATAGGAAGAAATAAAATAAAAGATTATGAAGAAAAAAAGAAAAAATTAAAAAAAAAGACAAAAAAAAAAAAATAATAAGTTATATATAAAAAATGAAAATTTTTTTCTAATATTCAATTATTTTACTTTTTTTTTTTTTTTTTTTTTTTTTTTTTTTTTATAATTTTTTAAATTTTTAATAATAAA